TCTGGACCTCAGAGGCTGGTGGCAAGAGGAGAAGTCACTTAGACTTTCCCAGTTCCTCTTGGGTCGACCCAGCTGTGCCTCTGAGCAGTCTGAGCGGGCTTATGGGGGTTCTCTGAGCTCACAGGCTCCAAGGCCCCTTCTCCTGGTTCCCCAGAGCCAGAGCAGCTGTCAGAACCTGCCACACCTTGGGAGTGAGGGACGGGGAGAGGGAGGGCGATGTAGCTGGGCCAACAGGACCTGCTCATCTAAGCCAGGTGGGGGCCCAGCTGTCCAACTCAGGGGCCACACCTTCTCCTGACTCCTCTGCGTGTGGTAGTGGCCTTGGGAACTGCTAGGCGTCAGGAAGGGCTGGCCACCCAGGGCTGGCCCCAGAGCCGGCATTGAGGCAGCTCCCCTTGGGACCTGAACCTCTGATCTGAACTACAGAGGAGGGTGTCTTCCCGCTGGGAGGGCGTGTCTCAGTTTCCACATCTAAAAATGTGGCCACACACACAAAAAAATGCCTCTGAAGGGAAGTTGGTCAGAAGGGTGGCCCCATAATTATTATTAACATAATCATGGTGACGGCTCATTGCCCCCTGAGCGGCCACAGTACTTTTCCACCCTCCTCCACAGGGTGCCTGCCAGGAGACCTGCTTAACACAGAGGGAAACTGAGGCTCCAGGCTTAAAGTCACGTGTCTAAGAGTCCCCCGTGGCCAGCAGGACACCCCATAATAAAAATTCCCTTCCTGGCTGAGCAGTCAGGCACCCTCCTCAAATCCGGGTCACTGTCTCACCTCAAGGAGGAGAAACTGAGGCCAGGCGACCAGGAACAACTTTACCGAGCCACAGAGCTGCGGCTGGCAGAGCCGGGACCTGAAGGAACCCTGGGAAACCTCACGTTCCCGAAGGTGGCCCAGCCCCGGCGCAGCAAGAAGAGGTCGGGGATCAACCGCGGTTCCCGCCAGAAACGTCAATCAGCGCCCTCAGGAGCTGGGGGACAGTTCCTGGACAGCCACCCTCAGAGGGCTAACAATCGCCACAACTGGAACAGCGACCGGGTGGACGAGGGCTGAGTGCCAGCCGCTCCTCCGGGAGAGCCGGCCCAACCCTGGCAGGAGGCGGGGAGCAGGGGTCCCCGGGGTTAGGGAGGCTTTCCTCCCCGGCCAAGGCCACAGGTGGCCTCGGAAACGCCGGGGATCAATGCTGCCGATGGGCGGGGCCAGCCGAGTTCCTGCGACTCGGGGCTGCAGGACGTCGCTACATCTTCAGGGACTTGCTAGTGGCTCCCTGGACCCTCCTTGCCTCCTCCCGGTGCCCACTCCCGGGAGCCGCCAGGTCCTCAGGGTCCCTAACACTTACCCGCCAGGCGACCGTCCAGGCCCTGCCCTCCTCCCCTGGAGCGGAGAAGGGCTCTCACCTGGCGGAGCCCCCTCCTCCCGGCCTCGCTCCTTCCCGCTGCAGCCTGCGAGCCGCGTCTCCCGGACGCGCGGAGTCTCCGGGTGGCCCAGGCGCAGCGCCCTCCGGCCCCGCCCCCGACACGCCCCCGACACGCCCCTTCCCCCGGCGGCCGGGGCCAGCGCCGGACGCTCGGGGCCTCTCCGCTCCTCCCGGGCCCTGGAGCCCACCTGGGTCCGGCGCGGCCAGGGAGGGGGCTCCCCGCGGCTGGAGGTGGCCGCCGCGCTGCGCAGTCCCTCGGCTCAGGGCCCCGCGCAGCGCTGGCCCAACGTGTGCTCCATGAAGAAATGATGAGCTGGGAGGCAGGCTGGATCCAGGGCTCCAGGGTCTCTGCAGAGGGTTGGAAGCTTCCAGAAGCCCCAGAAACCTGTCCCTCGCACCTCCTCCCCCGGACTTCCGGAGGTTTTGGGCTTGACATTCAAAAAGGTTCTGGAAGTGGAAAGTCAGATTTGGGATTGGGGGGACGGGGCTGGGTTTGGGGAGGATTTGAACTCTGTCCCCTGCTGCCTCCAGGGTCTATAGAAGTTTCTAGGCTTGGAATGTTGGGATCAGGACCTGTGGGGTGAGGGTCCAGGTGTATGTAGGCTCCATTCATCCTGCGTCCTCCCAGCTCCATTGCTTCCTGAGAGGAAGGGTGAGGGGCCTGGCTGGGGCAGAGCTGGGACAGAGTGAACTCTGCTTGGCGCAAAGTGATTGCAAAGGGAGATGGTGTCTCCTGTGGCTGCCCCATAGGGGCCCCAGGACATCAGGGGCTCCAGAGACACACCTTCCTTGCTGAGATAAACACTTGGACTTCGGTTAGGAGCTTATGGACACCCCATGGGGCCCCAGGAAGGACCCGTCACATTCTTTCCTGTGGGAGGTCCCTGCCCATTCCCCACCTTCACCCGAAAGGGGCCCTTTCCTGGGTTGCCCCGGAAACGTGCAGAACCACTGTAAGTAGAGGAAGCCCGCTGAGTCCTCAGAACCCTGTCCCCTGCTGCCTCTAGGGTAGACACCCAAATCCTGGTCCTTCCAAACACGTGCGTCCAGGGGACCCTGGACACAAAGGTCAGAGATCTGGAATCTAAAGCAGGGAGTGAGTAGCCTGCCCTGGTGAGGCATGCCGGGAATCCCAGCGGATCTGGAGGCTGAGGCAGGAGGATCCCAAGTTCAAAGCCAGCCTCAGCAACTTAGCAAGACTCTTCAGCAAAATAAAAAGGGCTGGGGGTGTGACCCAGTGGTTAACCGCTCCTGGGCTCAAAAAAAAAAAAACAAAGATGAAAAAGAGAGATGGGGTAGGTCGTCTCTCCCCCGTGAGAGTCCACATGCTCCCAGTGGCAATTCCAGGTGAATCCAAAACAGGTGTTCCAGCAGATCCTTGTGCACACGGTCAGGGCAGCACCATTTACAGTGGCCAGGGGACCGAAGGACCAGTGTGTCCATCTCAGGGCGGAGGGATAAAGGAACTGGTCCGTCCACATAGGGGAAGGTCACTCAGCTGTAAAAGGACCAGGCCACAACAACGATGAAACTTGAAATCATGATGCTGTGTGACAAAAACCAGGCCCAAAAGGCCACAAGGGTCTGACTCCCTTGACATGAGACGTTCAGAACAGACGAGTCCAGAGACAAAACTCAGGGGCCTGCCAATGCGGTGGGGGTCTCCTTTGGGGAGATGAACATGTCCCAGAGGGAGACGGAAGCCCTACATTTTGAATGTCCTGAGCGCTGCGGGGCAAGTTCACGGTCAATTTTCTGTTGTGTGAATTTCACATTTATTTGTTTATCTTTAGTTCGGGGATGGAGCCTGGGGGCAGTCCGCCACTGAGCCACATCTCCAGCCCTTTTAAAAATGTTCTCAATTCTGAGACAGGGTCTCCCCAGGTTGACGGGGCTGACCTGGAGTCGGGACCCTCTTGCCTCAGCTCCCTAAGTCGCTGGGATCACAGGTGTGTGACGCAGGCCTGGCTCACCTCAGTCGAAACACGCACACACAAGCCCACCAGGGGACTTGACGGAGCACTGTGCGACTGGTCACTGTGGCAGAGCAGAGATTGGGAGCCACCCAAACTGGGGAGACCAGAGAATCTTAAATAGCTGAATGACACCACGCCCTCTGGGGTTGGCCAGTTTAATGGGTCCCTGCCTGCTCTGTTGGGACGCACCCTCCTGAGATAGGCGCGTGTCACACAAGCAGGGCAGGGCAGTTAGGCGGTCACTCCCAAGAAAAATGCCTCCTGTGTTTTAAAAGGTGCCCGGCCTTACTCAGGACCCAGGAAAACAAATTCAAGGCAGCATGAGGTACCATGTTCCTGCCGCTTATCAGATGGGCCGGAACCCAAGCCTAGATAAGCCAGTGTGTTGGAGGTGGCAGCAGATGGTGGCATTCAGACAGCAGCTCCGGGCTTGCAAATGTCACCCACACCATCAGCCCCATGGCCACACAAGACTCTCTGGGGGGGACCAAGGCACCAGCCCTGCACACACATGGATGGTGGGGACACTGCCATCGGCTTTGACCTTCTGTGGGGCTATGGCTCCCTCCCCTCCCCCCAACCCACTGTGAAGTCAGGAAGGTGCCCTGAGGACGTTCCCCCCAGCTACAGGGCTCCCCCTTTTTTTAACATATGGAGAAACCGAGGACAGGAGGACGGGAGGGGATATTATCAACAGGGTTTTGAGGTGTGAGTAGGAGCTTGCAAGATGGGGAAGCGCCTCCCCTCCCTGGCATAGCCAGCCATCCCCCTCCTCTTCAGACAAGGAGGGAGGATCAAAAAGTGCAGGGCAAGTCTCAAGCCACATCCTGCTTCCTGTTTCCTGTTTCTGAAACTCCATTTGGTGCAGGCTTGGTTCCTCTCAGGTTGTAGGATCCCTCAGGGTCAGACTGAGTGACGGTCCCCAGGTGCCTGTCAGGACCCAGGACCATCTGCTGAGCTCAGACCTGCTCCCCGGCACTGTCCGTTACCACGTCTACCCCGGCCCCACCAGGCCACTCTGCTCCCCCCCGTCCTGGCACTCTGTGCACGCAGCTTCCCCGTGGCCACCATGAAGGGGTCTGCAGATGAGGACACCTAGGCTCAAGCCGCTCATTCAAAGTCAGTGATGGCCGCGTCGGCTCTGGACCCAGGCCCCTGCTCCCAAGTCTTTCAGCTTCCAAGAACTTTGTCTTGCTCACAGCTGCGCCCCCTGCCTGGCCCACCCCAGAGATCATTTAATGTTCATGTATTGACTAAAAATTGCTTTCTCGTGGAGCTCAAACTCTGCCTGGGGTGCCCCGCCCGTCTTATAAACTCCTACTCAAATGTCAAAGCCCCATTTATGATGCCCCTCCCTAGGACATTTTCTTAACTTCTTGGGAAGAGCTCTGGGTGCCCCAGTCTGGGCTCCTGTAGTCCTTGTCCCTCCCACTAGCCCAGTTCTGAGCCCGTGGGCCCTGGGTCTGGCTTTTGTCCCTCGAAAGCTTATAGGATAAGCAAAGTGCAAGGGGTGGGGCAAGATACCCTAGAAACACCAGGCGGCACCCATGCAGCTCTGCCCCTCTCCACTCCGACTGTATGAAGGAGACACTCTGGAGCAGGATAAGGTCTCCTTTTTTATTTTGTTAGAAAATAAAGTGTTTATTCGAAGAACGTTAAAAGGCCAGGACCTGGGGCGTTGGTGGGAGGAGGCCGGTCTCGGCTCAGCTGGGCTGGCGCGGGGCTCCTCTCCAGAGTCTGGCCTCGTGGGGGCGACAGCAGCCCGGCTCCCAGCAGGAGGGCGGGGGGTGAGTGAGCACCTCGGTCCCAGCTCAGCAGCTTACCAGGTACATCCCTGTGGCAGTGGGGACAGTGAGGAGGGCCCTGACCTTCCGGTTCCCTCGGCGTCCCCCCCGTCCAACGTTCCCATGGTCTGTGCCTCGGGTCCCAGCAGCCCCTTGTGGGGCGGGAGGACCGAGTGGGGGTGGGGGCGGGATCTGGTTCCCTGCCCTGGGTCCTTCCAAGGACGCCCCGGGGGTCAACCCGGCCCCTGTTTCTCCCTCTTCACTTGCAGTGCTGGGGGGACCGGGACCCCAGGCCTGCTGGGCAGCCCCCGGCCCCTGAGCCAGACCCCAGCCCTGCTTCTACCTTGACTTCTTCCTTTGGGGCCCTGACCCCCCCCACCTACTTCCCCAATTTTGGGTCTCCTGGCTCCCAAACCTTCAAACGCCCCCTCCTGCCAAATTCCTCCCAGTGACAGGGCCCAGCTCCAGTGCCTGGTGGCAGGTGACCCTACCTGTGGCGAACCTCCTCTTCACCAGCGACATGCGGTAGCCGTTGCCCACCAGTTCCAGGTCCACGCCCGACAGAGTGGCCCCCTCGCTGGTGAACTGTGCGGCCACAGGGCTGGGCGTGCTGGGCCCAGACAGGGGCTCCCAGCTGGCAGAGAGGTGGCCAGAGCCTAGGGAGGCCTGAGGTGAGTTGCGCCCCCGCCCAGCGCTGTCCCACCGTCCCTGCGCTAGAAACCCTTTGCTCTGTGGCTCATCTGCCCCGCCCACCTCCTCTTGCACCCATGCACCCTTTTCTTCTGGCCCCGCTGGTTGACACAGCAGTCCTACCACAGGGTCTTTGCATCTGCCATGCCCACCCCCCTGGACTGTCTTCTTCTCCCACATTTTTCAAGCCCACTTCTCACCACCAGCATTCTCCCCAGTCTGAATAAGCGCCTCCCACCTGAGCTCTCCCCGTCCTTCATGCACACCCATAACTCACCTGCTGCCTCAGACACATCTGGAAGCTTCCACATGAACCGCTTCTCCTCCAGGCTCCTGGCAGTGAGAGAAGTTTGGTCAGGTCTTCACCAGAGAAGATGCTAGAAGCCTGTGGGCACAGTTTGGCCACTTCCTGGTCCCCTGCGTGACCCCCACAGGCCCACTTCCCAGCCTTCCCCATCTGTAAAAGGGGTGGGCACGGAGCGGCTGATGCCCGACAGCACTTTGAAAAGGCGCATCCAATCCTCCTGCACAGCAGGTTCCGCCTTTTGTACAAAACGAAGGTGGGCCCAGGCCTCGGCTCAGGGGTAGAGCGCCCACCGTGTGCCTGGGGCCCTGGGTTCCAACCCCAGCACCGCAAAAAATTAAAATAAAAATAATAAATTTAAGAAGTGGTGGCAGGCCAGACTGGCGGCTGCACCAGGAATGGGTGGACAGTCCGGTTTTGGTGTGGCCTCAGACAAGCCAAGGAGCCTCCGGTGCCTGTCTCCCCCTCCATAAGTGGGGAGGTGAGAGGCCACACCTGGGGCTGCTGAGGGACCAGGACCGCCCGGCAGAGGCCTGCTCACGGCTGCTGTGGAGGAAGCTCCCTCAGAAATCATTAGTTTTTAAGTTAACTGTTTTGTTGTTTGTTGGCGGTGCTGGGGTGGACCCCAGGGCCCCCCGCATAGGAGGCGCGGGCTCTGCCGCTGAATTTCTTTTTGAGATGGGATCTCTGGTGTGGCCCAGGCTGGGCTCAAACTCCTGAGCTCAAGCCAGCCTCCTGTCTCAGCCTCCACATAGCTGGGACCGCAGGTGGGTGCCATTGTACCCGGCTCCAAAATTATCTAAATCATCCCCAGTTCTAAGCAAGGTAGGCGCCGTCAGGGGTCCAGCCTGGGCTGGACCTTTGGCTGCCACAACCCTGGGAGCTATACAGGTCCCCACGTGGGAGAGGACGGCAGGGGAGGGCAGGGCTGGGCTGGGCGTCGGTCGGCCTCGTACCAGGTGGCAGCAGGCTGCAGGCGGACATTGGTCACAGGCTCCCCCACGGGCAGCAGGATCTGGACGTTGGTGAGCGGCGTGGACACGGCGGTGGCCCCAGCGCGGTAGCTGTACTCCACCGAGACCTGGGTGAGCGAGGCCGCGCACTGCCAGTGGACGCTCAGCTGCAGAGGCAGGGACTGGGGGCCGGGGCGGGAGAACTGGGGGGACAAAAGCAAGAGAGACACAGCTCGGGTTTGTGTCCTGCCACCCCGTGACCTTGCCTCGCCACCCATCATTCCACCACGCTGACAGCGCCACACACATATCTTCCAAGGACCCCAGGCCGGTGCAGGAGAATTTAGTGTATTACACTATGTGTCCAGCAGAGGGCAGGCGAGCACCTCATTTTAACAAAATCGGCCAGACAAGTGCAAGCCCAAGGTTTGGGGCGGGGCCTCTTCCAATTTGCATAATTGTACCATCTGCACCAATGGGGGAAGGCCCCCCAGGGCGCGGCGAGGCCCCACCCCGGCTCCGGGCCCACCTGGTATCGCAGCAGCACCACGTTGTAGTAGGAGGCCGTGGGGTTCTGCTCCGCCTGGCGCTGCAGGGCCTCGGTCAGAGCTGCCATATTGAGCCAGAAGTCTTTGGTGTCCGGGTCGCTCTGGGAGGGGTCACTGTGCAGACAGGGGCTCATCACCCCCAGCCCTCAGGAAATGCCCTCCCAGGGCTTTCTTCTATGCCAGCGGCTCCCTAAAGACGTGATTTCTTGTCCCACCCTCGGCCCAGGAAAGCCCTACTTGGGCTGGAGGTGAGGACACTAGAGGAGTCAAGGAAGGCAAGGTTCAGAGAGGGCAAGCAGCTTATCCCAGGCCACACAGCAAATCCCAAGAGGCAGAGTAGAAATTCAGAGCTCGGGAGCCGCTGACCCCCCAGTGTAAGGCCCCTTCCCACTGGGCGTGCCCAGTACCTGAAGAGCAGGTCAGCACTGGGCTGGAAGTGCTCGATGGGGGCCGTGTGCACGAGCCTGAAGCTGAGGACGGGTGGGGGTGGGGTCCCGTTGAACACTCGCATGATACCAGCAGGAAAGGTCATGGTCAGCTCCCCAGTGACTCGAGCCAGGCAGCTGGGGAGTGGGGGCCGTGGTGGCTCAGGGCTCTGCTTGGAGCCCTATCCCCGGCCCCTGAGTCCACCACAGCTGGGGGTTCCCAGTCCCCAATCCAGCAAGACCCTAATCAAGCCTGCAGCCCTGTCACCCCTGCCTGGACGAGAAGAAGCCACCCAGGACTGAGGGAGAAAGAAGGCCCCTCCCGTTTGCTTTTCTCCTAGACCAAGACCTCAAGCCACAATGGCTGCGCGGTGCAGCGGTCCTCAGCCTGGGCTTGGGTCAAACACTTTCCTCCTCCTTGTGGTGTGACAGGAAGGTCTTTCCTGCTGATCCACCCAGGGCCAGGCTCTGGCTCCCCAGCTCACCCCACCTGCCCCTGACTGGGCACGGCTTCTGGTCCTCTCAGCCTGGTGGCACAGTGGCCTTGGGGAGCCCCAAGCCCTGCTCTAACGCCCTCTGGGGCTCCCACTGCCCTCCAAGGCTGAGAATTGTGTCTGCTACTTCCTTTGAGACCCAGACACCAGCCTTGGAGCCCTCCCTGTATCCTTCCCGACCTTGTCACACCTGGGGCTGTGGCCACGGAAGTAGGCGTGGACGTACTCCGTGAAGGCTGTGGCCACAGGCAGGGCATCCTGGGAGCCGAGGACCACAGGGCTTGGGCCCCGGGAGACTCCTGGGGTGGCGAGGAAGAAACCGGTCACATGGATGCGCACAGGCCCTGACGACCCACCCTGCCACAGCCGCCAGCTACCGCCCAGACCAGAGACAGGGTACCCGAGGCTGGGGGGCCAGAGCTGCCCCACGTACCGTGTCCTGTCTGGGAGGAGAAGCCGGGCCGCTCCGAGGTGATGCTGGGGGCGGAGGAGCCCAGTGGGGAGGGGCTCAGGGGCCGAGACTGGAAGGACAGGGGTGGGGGCTAGAAGTGGAGGCCAAGAACCACCCAGGCCACTCCCAGCCAGTTCCTGTCACATCCTCACTTACCAGGTCACCGTTGCTCCGGGTGAGGGGGCAGGACACCTTCCTGGAGCGCGGCCTCCGGGGTGGGGCAGCGAGGCCCTCCCTAGAGGTGCCATCGGCGGGTGGGGGCACCAGGTCTGGGAGGAGCGTGGAGAACAGGTCCAGATGAGCCACCGCCCTGGGTCTCACCCTGGGTCTGGGGAGGGACCCGCCAGGGGCAGGGACTCAGCCACAAACAGGGGGAGAAGGGCTTCAGGAAGACGAAGCCGGGAGTTGGGCAGGCACCACCCACAGCCCTAGCCTCCAGACACTGGCAGCCAGACAAGGGGGAGTGCCTCGTCAGGGGGTGGGCAAGCAGGGCTGGGGGCCATGGTCAGCAGCGCTATGACACCCACCTCCGAGGGTGAGGGCCGCCTAGGTGACCTGGGTCTGCCTCTCACCCTCCTCTGTTAACACACGGGGCACGTTTGGCCCCTTGAACTGGCTCGGCCAGGTTCTTTCCCATGGAGCGCGTCAGAAGCGCTGGGGACAGTGTGTGGTCAGAGCTACCTCTGGAGCCAGGGGGCCACCCCTGCCTGCTCCCTTCCTCCACCCGTCCTCGCGCCCCTCTGGCCCTGCCTGCTCAACCCCAGGCTCTCCTCCCTGGGTGGCCTCCCTCCCTGCTCTGGTGACATCTTCACACAGCTGTGACATGCCACCCTTGCCTCACCACCCCCCACCCGTGGCCCCTTCCCCACCTGGCTGGCCACCTGGCTGGCTCTTCTCCACCCTTACCCGAGGCCACTCTTCCTTCACCTTCCCTCCCTCCCAAGCTGCCAGAGGAGCATGTGACCCCCAAAGTCACGCAGGTCCTGTGCTTCCTCCATTCGAAGCCCTGCAGGGCGCCGCTTCCTCAAGGAGCATGTCACAGTCCTCCCCAGGCCCAGGCGCTTCCTCCCGCCCCCCGCTTCTCCCTGGGGGTTCCTCAAACGTGCCCAGCAGCGCCCGCCCCGCCTCTTCCCAGGCTGTGGCGACACCTCCCAGCAGCCCCACCCATCCAGGGGCCCGGCCCATCCTCACCGCCATCAAATCTTAGCGCAAATGTCCCCCCCCCAGGCCTCCACCCAGCACCGTCATCCCTGCCTTGTTGAATATGGACCTCGTTGTCACCCCTGTAGAGGTGGGGGTCACCTCATCCCGCCTGTGTCCCCAGAAATCCGATCAGGCCCTGCCTACAGGGGGCACTCAGTCCCCTCCAATCTCAGGGACAAGGACACTGGACTCACCTCCTCCGGCCTCCAGTCCCCAAGGGCCTGGCGATGGTGCCAGGCGCTGCGGAGAGTCGGGTGGCGGTGGGGGCCGTGTTCCCCTGGGTTCAGGGGGCTGTGCCCTACAGGTGGGCGGGCTCTGCGGGGTGCCCGGGCGGGGGACCCAGGAATCCGGGGAGGGGCCGGGTGCTGCATGGGAAGGAGAGTCGAGGCCAGAGTCTTCCACGTTTTCAGGTGACGAGGAGGAGAAAGGGGAGGGGCTGGAGGTGAACCCGAGGCTGCTGGAGCCTAGGGGAGCCAACAGACGGTCAGCGTCGGGCCCGCCCACACGGAGTCCCCGCCCACCCTCCTTCAGGCGGGAAGGTGGGTTCCCATTCTCGGTTGTCCATCTCCCTAATGTCCTCTCCACTGTTACCCACCACTGTTACCCAGACCCAAGCACAGACCGCCACCCTCTACGGTCTGTCCCACTCGAAAGCGTCCATCAGCTATAGCCCCGTCCACTCACGTGACAACCCCGCCCACTTATGTAAAGGTGCCCATCTTCTCTCCTAGGCTGCCCCTAGGTCTGCCTAGACAGACCAGCCTGCCTTCCCATTGGCCCTGTCTTCCCTCCTCCTGGCCTATCCTTGCAATGGCCCCACCCACTCTCTCGCTAGCCACGCCCTCACCCCTGTTCCCATCACCTGTAAAATCTTCATGGTCAAAGGCTGACTCCAGGGGTGGCCCAAAGAGATTCTTGGATACCTGCTCGTCCAAGGGCAGCTTTTCTGCACAGCTGTGGACCAGGAGGCCAAGAGGGGCGGGGTCTATTGGCTGTGTGCCTTGTCCGCCCCCCAGAGCCTTTGCGAGGTCTACTCTGTCCTGAGCTGTTCCTGCAGTTGTACCTATGGCCATTTCCTACTCCTCCTCGGGGTTTAGCCCAAAGCCAGCCCTCGGGAAGCCCCCATCCCAAGTGAAGTTACCCCTTCCTGTCTGCAGCGCATCGCGGCCCAAGCTTCTCCACAACACTTATGAGCACACTTAATTCATTTGCTGGTCATTTTAATGAGCCACTAGAATGTGACTGAGAACAGAGACCTGTCTTGGTCACGTACCCCAAAACCCGCATGGGGCAAGTATACAGAAGGTGCTTCATAAGCCAGAGGCACAAGGCAGAGACATGGGGAGGAGGTAGGGGCGGCCCACACCTGCCACACCAGTTAGCTCCATGTCCTACCCTGTGGAACCTACCTGCTGGTCCTTGGGGCAGACCGAGGCCTCTGTGGTTTCCCAGCAGCATCCCCTGTGGGAGATACCCTCCTTGAGCCTTCCTGTCACCCTGCCTGCAGCCTGCTCATTGCCCACACCACGGCCCTGAGACTCAGGGGAATCAGAGGTTCAAGAAGGAGCCAAGACAACCTGTCTCCAGGTGTGGGCTCCTTTCCTAACCCCAGCTTCTCCTTTTAATTTCATATATATATATATATATATATATATATATATTTTAGTTGTAGTTGGACACATACCTTTATTGTATTTATTTATTTTTATGTGGTGCTGAGGATCAAACCCTGGGCTTCACACGTGCGAGGCAAGTGCTCTACCATGAGCCACAGCCCCAGCCCTCCTTTCAATTTTCATTTAATTTATTCTTATTTTACAAAGGAGGCAACTGAGGGTCAGAGTGGTTAAGCAGCCTGCCCCATGTTACAGCAGAGCTGGGGTTCAAATTCACACCCAAATCCAGGACCAGCTTTCCCTCCAAGTGTTCTTACCCAGATTAAGACGGAAGGCTACTCACGTGAAGAATGGCGTTTCATGGTGCCCTGTGGACAAACGAGGCAGCGTCAGGCACAGGTGCATCCAGCCAGCCCTGCCGCACACCCAGAGCAACCCTCCCACACCTCACCCCTGGGCCTGGAGGTAGGATGAGGCTGCCCGCTGTGGCCCTGAGCTGTGCCGCTGCAGCCTCGGGGTTACAGGACGGAGCCCGGGCTGGCGCGGGCTTGATGTGCACGTGGAACTTCCGAGGCTCCTCATCATCAAAGTCGGAGTCACTAGAGGAGAAACGAGAAGGCTCGGCCGTGCTTAGGCCTCAGTCAAGGAGCCAAGCAGATCCTAGCAGCCCTCAGATCCCACCTGTCCCTCCCTGCTCAAACGTGTAGAGACCCCGCACAGTCCCTCTGCTCACACTAACTGGCAAACTCCTATTCAGCTGCAAAACCTCAACACTGGTGCCCCTTCCTCCAGGAAGCCCTTGGACTCTCCCTCTGGGACAATCCAACTGCCTCTCTCACTCTTGCCCATCCCTGACCCCACAAAACAGCTGTTTACATCTGGACGGGTTCCCTCCACCACGGAGGCCCTCTCCAGGGTGGACACAGGGGCGGTTGCTAGTGGCAGACTGGACAGAGCTTTGTCCCTGCTGTGCCAACAGTGGTTCCCAGGGACATCAGAAGGATATTGTTCTGGGTCACATCAGGTCGGACGGTGAAACCTTCTTCATCCACCTCTGGACACATCTGGGGGGGGAGAGTGATGAGGTGGGTCCCCCGACTGAACTTTTCCCCTCCAGGGCCTGGCTCTGACCCACACCACCTGCCCCTTCCCCAGGTGTGTGGCAGGTTCCAGGGGCACGCTGAAGTGCCGTGGGGTGTCAGTCCTCCCACATGGCCCACGGGTGGGATCTGAGCCCAGCCCCAAGCTGCACTTCCTGGGGTTCCCACCCCGCCCAGTTTCACCTGGGATTCAGGTGAGAACAGGCCCCTCCCACCGCAGCCAGCCCCTCCCAAGCCCCTCCTCGGCACTCACCCCTGAATCGGGTTCCAGGAAATCTCTGGGGAGGGAGGGAGAGGTGTCAGCGTCAGCACCTCTGGGACCTGGGGTGCCTGCCCTACCGCCTAGGCTAGCCCTGGGGCCGTGGGACCTGGGGCTTGCTCGGGTGGGGAGTCTGGAGTCAGCCGATCAGGACAGCCTGGGAAGGGAGGCCGCTGGAGCTGGACTTCAGGGCCGGCCTGAGAAGCCCGGGGACGTGGGGGTATCATTGGCAAGGCCACGACAGGGCTGGCATCCTGGACCAGCCGGGGCAGGGGTAATCCTTGGCCACTCTGGGCCAGGAAGCCCCCGGCCTGGCCTTGGTGCGTGGACAGACTCCAGCCAGGTTGGGCTTTGGCACCACGGCACTACCCTGGGGCAGAGGTTCTTGTGGGCCAGCCTGGGGAGAGGGAGTCCTGGGCCAGCCTGGGACAGGGGCTACTCCGGAGCTACCCACAGAGGTCAACGGGCAAGACTGGGCTAGCCTGGGATAGGGAGACTCCTGAGTGGGGGATTTCTGGGCAAGCCTGGACCGGGACCAGGCAGGGCCTTCCTCACACGGTGGCTCGAGGCTCCCGCTCCCGCTCCCGCCGGCTTAGTCCTGGAAGGCGGAAGGCCTTGGATCCCCGCAGGCGTTTCATTGCTGAGGACAGATGGAGGTGGCTGAGCCGGACGGGTGTCCCTTCCCAGGCAGGTCCCTCCTCACCCCGCGGTCTAGCCTGGGCGACCAGGCCCAGACGTACTTGCCTTCCTGCAGCGCGGCCGCACTGTAGCTCTCGAAGTCCAGAGGTCCTGAGACAGGGAGGTGGAGGTGGGCGGGCCTGGCACGGGCGGCCGGCAGCTCTCGGCCACTCGGCTTGGGCCCACAGTCAGTCAGGTAGGTAAAAGAGGAACAGCCCAGCCAGGGCGTGGGCAGGTGGGCTCAGGGGCTGCTCTGCCACTGGCTGGGTGGTGCCACCTGAGCCATCTAGACACTTGCAGCATTTCTAGGTGGAACTTGGGTTGGGTCAGGGGATTGACCAAGATGGGCCTGGACACCCAGAGGAGGAGCTGGGACTCTCCCAAGATGATGGCGAGGCAAGGGGCATGTGTGAGGGCGGCAGAGCTGGGGCCAATCAAGGGCAAGAAGCGGGGGGCCACATAAGGAGGGGCGGCCTGAGCAGGGCCTGAGCCGTAGAGACAACAAGGAGGAAGGACAGGCCTCACTGGCTGAGTAGGCTTGGGGACAGTGACGTAGTTAGTGGACACCTACCCATCAGATCACCGAGCATTGTGAGAATTACTGTGAGTATATTCCCATCCTCACTTTCTAGGTGAGGAAACTGAGAAGTCAAGACACATGTCCTACGTCACACAGCCAGCAAGGAAGAAAGGACCCAAACCAGGTCTGATTCTCAAACTTGCCCTCAGCTCCTCTCAGCCCCCACATCTGGGCTTTTCCAAATTTGTCTTTTGCTCAACAACACTCAATAGCTCCCTGGGGCCCTTGGGGTGAAGTCTGAACTCCGAGCGTGGCTTTCAAGGCCTCTCTGGGATCTTCTAGACAGACACATCAGACCAGCCATCAAATTCCCTTCCTACCTGGGCTGGAGACTTGGAATTGTCACCAGCCATTTTTCTGATGAAGAAACTGAGGCTCAGGGAGGCCCAGTCTCCCGCCTCTTTCTCTGCGGCTGTGGCCCCCAGCCTGGCCGCCATCTCTGCGGACTCACCTGGCTTCTCCCGGCCCGTGCCCTTGCTCTCAGCAAACTTCCTGAGCAGCATCTCCACGCTGACGTTCTCTATGTTCTGCTTAAATTCCTCATGCACCTGGGTGGGTGGGTGGGCAGGGTGTGTGACTGGCAGGGTCCTCTTGCCCAGCACCGGCCCCAGCCTCATCCTGCACAGCAGCCCGCGTCACCTGCCCAATCTGCACGTGAGTGTCCTCCACAGAGTGTGCGTAGGAACCCAGCAGCGCCTTCATGTGTCGCAGGTGGGTCTCCTCCATGGCTTGGAAGCGCTGAGGCAGGAAGAGAGGAGTGAATGGAAATGTAGAATGGCCATGTGACCAATCAGAACATCCCAGCTCTCTGGCCTCAGTGACTGATTAGAGAAAGAACCAATGAAAGTCTGCCCTAGGACTTTAGCTGGAACTACGAGAAAAGATGCTTCATTCCTGAGCCAAAGAGTATTGGGATACAAATGGGGGCAGCTGGCAGCCACTTTTCTGTGTGCACGCACTGCACATGTGAGCATGTACACACACACACACACACACACACTGCAATGTCTAATGTCTGCCTAGGGGTCAAGTCCCCAGGGAAGACGACTGACTAGAGAATCAGAGAGACACAAGCTTCCTGCCAACACCATTTGGGCACCTGAATCCATCCATGCCTGAAGCCTCCGCACCCCCTCAAAAAAATTCTTCAGTTCACTGACCCTAAAAAATTCATCCATTTAAATAAACATTTCTTTCTTTTTTGGTATGGGGGATTGAACCCAGAAGTGATTTATTTAGAGTCAGAGATTCACTTAGTTGCTTAGGGCCTTGATAATTTGCTGAAGCTGGCTTTGAAATCACAATCCTCCTGTCTCAGCCTCCCGAATCACTGGGATTACAGGTGAATGCCACCATGCCAGGCTTAAATAAAAGTTTCTATTACTTGCAACTTGAAAAAGAATTCTTATTCTGAGTCCTGAGATTCTAGTCTACTCTTGGTCCATGTGGGTAGATGGACACCCAGAGAGGTGCAGTAACTTGCAAAGTAACACAGCTCTTGAGGGACAGAGGCTGTGTGGCCTTCCAGCCACCAAGGAATCAGGAGATACTTGGCTTCTGAACTTTGCCCTTCTTCAAAAATCTCCCCAATAGAATGGAAATAATAATAACAGCCTAGAGAGTGGCTTCTGTGTCCCTGGTACTAGTCTGAAAACTTCGGAGTTGCTCATTTAACCTTCGCTGTTCTATGAGGCAGGCACTATTAGAGTCTCCGTTTTACAGATGGGGAAACTGAGGCACAAGATAATTTGGCTTCTGAAATAATGTCAATGACAATAATAGGCCTTAGGCCTATGACCCTAAGCACCCTGGGATGCGGGCGGTCGGGAGGTGTCCCGGGCCAGGGACGCGCAGCCGTCGGGGTGCGGATCTCTGGGGCCGGCTTCCTACCAGCGCCGAGTCCAGCATCTTGTGCTCGAAGTCGGCCCGGGCCGAATTGTACTTCTCCACCGCGCGCCGCAGGCTCTCCGCCGCCTTCTTGGTTTTGGTTTCTGCCTAGGAGGCACAGGGAGGGGATGGCATTGGGATGGGGACACACAGAGGGCTTTCCCAGCCCAGACTTGTCACCTGGCAGGTGGGTTCCTGGGATACCCAGGGCTCAGTGGCCACACGCAGGCCCAGTGACCACCTCTGTGCGACACATTTTCGTTCTGATCAGGCAGCCCCAAGGCCCTGCGGCAGATCCCTCAGACCCGCGCGCTGCAGCGGCCGCCACCTGCACACCTTGTCCATCTCTTTCTGGCTGGTGTTCTCTCTGCGCAGGCGCTCCTGGTCCATGCAGCGGCTCAGGTAGTTCTCGCGAGACTTGGGCAGCAGCTGGCTGACGCCCGAGAGCACCTGCACCGCGTCCAGGGTGCCCAGCGCTTCCTCCTTGCACTGTAGGGGGGGGGGGGGGGGGTGAAGGGGCGCGTGGGTGCCACCTGTGCCCACGCAGGGACCGTAATACTCTGTTTATTTATTTGTCCCAGAGTATTTTGGCCGGGCCTGGTGGCGCTCGCCTTGAAATCCCAGTGGCTCGGGATGCTGAGGCCGGAGCACCCCGGGCTTGAAGGCAGCCTCAGCAACTTAGGCCCAGAGCAACTTTGCGAGACCCTGACCCTAAATAAAACGAAGAGGGCTGGGGATGTGGCTCAGTGCTTAAGCAGCCCGGAACCTAATAATAATAATAATAATAATAATAATAATAATAATAATAATAATTGCAAGTTGAAAACACTGTACATGGGGACTGTATCGATTCCGCCCAACCCACCTGCACCCTGGCTTAGCCACAGGGCACACTGTGGGGTCCCCGTTTCATGGCTAAGGATGCTGTGCTCCTGCAGCTGCCCAGCTTCACAACAGAGGATCGGAGCAGCACCTAACTAACCCAGAGAAAGTTCCGAATTCACAGCTCCAAGTTCCATTTCTACTGAACGCAGGTCACTGCTGCACTGTTATGAAGTTAAAAAAAAAAAAAAAATCGTTCGCCAGCATTCTAAACTGGGACCCTTTGTAAGTGCAAAGAATTTTTTTTGTATAATTACAAACTTCAAAGGTATGGGATCCTGAGTTTAAGGCTTGGATCACCCAAGATTCTAGACCTTTGGGTTTTGTTTTATTTATGTTTGTTTTTGGTACCAGGATTTGAACCCAGAGGCGTTTAACCACGGAGCCAATCCGCAGCTCTTTTTATCCCTGAGTTGCTGAGGCTGGCTTTGAACCCACGATCTTCCTGAGACGCTGGGATTACAGGCGTGCACCCGGGTCTAGGTTTTTAGGTCTAGAAATGTTAGGTATCAAGCCAGGCACCGTCCAGGGCTCTACAACATGTCGGCGAGCGAGCGCTGTCTGTACAGAACAGAGAGTCAGTGTGCTGGGCTTGTCCCTGACCTGGACTCTCCTTGTAGCACAAAAGCAGCCCGAGACACTATGCACAGGAATGGCGAGGCTGTGTGGTACTGGAGTCTGCATGTCACAGTCTCCACGCGGCAAAGGACAGCATCTGCTCCGAGCTGTGCAGAAGCCTCCCGGGCTGAGGCTGGCCACAGCCTGTAGGTGCGACTCCAGTTTTGCCCAGGGTCCCCACTGAGCCCCGCCCCCGCCCCCTGCTGCTGCTGGGCTCTGAGCGGGAGTTCATCAAGCCCAAGGGGGTCGGGTGTGTGGAGGTGGCGGGCATCTGGGGGCACCCCCAGGTCTGGAGGCCGCAGGAGGCCTGGGACCCGGATGCGCTGGCCCCGCCCCCTGGCACGCACCCTCTTGTGGGCCTTGAGCTGCTCCTCCCCGTAGCGCAGCACGTCCTTGATGAGGTCCTGCAGCTTCCGCGTCAGCTCCAGGTGGCACAGCGCCAGCTTGTCGGAGGAGACTCGGAAGACCTCCCAGAGCGGGGCGAAGGTCCTGGGGGCAGGCCGGGGTTACCCCCAGGGTCAGCGAGGACCACCCCGCTGAAGTCCCCGCACTCCAGGGAATGGCCTCGGCTGCACATGTCCTGCGGGCCTGGCCCTGCGAAGCCTCGCTCATCTTCATTAGTATATATATTTTTTAATTTTCCGGGGTTGGGGACAAAACCCACGGCTTCCCATGCTAGGCGGGCGCTCGGCCACTGAGCCCCATTCTTAGTCCCAAAGCTAGAAGTTAAGTCCTGTCCGGGGACCCAGGAGTCCTTCCTGGGCAGTGCACAGTCCCCTGGTCTCCAGGCCCCAGCTGATTATTCCCACTGGGTGAGACTCCAGGTGGGCAGACGAAGTCCCCTGTGGCCTTTGCCCCTCGCAAGGGCTCCTCCAATGCTCCCCCCACACACCTTCTCTCCCTGCTGCTTCCGCCCCAGCCCTCCCCATCCTGTGGCCCCACAGCAACCACAAGGAACTCTGCGAATGCCCAGGGGACCACATCACAGGTGGCTTGTGCCTGAGGTCCCTATGGCCTTTCCACCTCCACTCCCCTCTTCCCCCATCATTCCCTCCTCACCCCCCAGGCAGCCAGGTGAGCCTCCTTGTTCTTCCTTGCACAGGCCACGTGGGCTGCTGCCTCAGGGCATTTGCACTGGCAGGGCCACCTGCCTGGGTCTCTGGCCCTCAGACACTCCCAGGGCCAGCTCCTTCTGCACATTAAGGCCTGGGCTCACTGCAGCTGAGTCTACTCCAGAGGAAGTGCTCACCCTCTCAGGGTCCTGCTTCGTTTCCTGCCTAGCACTTCTCACTCAGGGAAAGGACTTGGTTATATGTGAGTTTAACTTGTGTCTCATGAGACATGGGACAAAGGTCCCATGGGCTGTAGTGTCTGGCTCTCAGAAGGTGCTCAGCAAATATATGTGCAGTGAACATATGAAGAACCAGGGAGTGAACTCTACATGTCATGTCATGTCACATGAGTAAAGACACATCCACCCCGAGAAGGCTCCCGATGCCCCAGGCCCAGCGCCCTGGTGACCCCTGCCCCACTCACCCCATGGGGGTCCCGTTGCTGGCCAGCTTGGAGAGTTTCGCCATTGCCTTTGAGTACGTCTCCTCGATGGTGGCTCTGGGTGGGAGCACAGGGGGGCGGGGAGATGGCGGAGGTTCTTTCTGGGCATCTGGGAGAGCACTAGCCCTGGACCTCCGCTTCCCCATCTCCAATGTCTAAGCAGTGGCTCTCAAGGAGGGCATTTTGGAAATTTGGGCAAGAGATCCGTTTCCGCTAAGCAATGCCCTTGGCCAACAACAGCAGTGTTGGTAGCAGCCGGGAAAAACACTGGAGCACATAATGGGCACCGAGTGGAGTGCTTCATATGGTTTGTTTCACTTAATTCCAGGAGAAAAGCTCATTTTTCCTTTTTCCCTCTGGACAGATCCTGCTAAATGCTGCCTCATGTCTAGTCACATCTTCCTTCAAACAAAACCTCAGTTTTTCGGGGCATCAATGTATCCACTTGGAAGCTACCCCAGGGGCTGGGGCTGAATGGTAGAGGCTCGCCTAGCACGCGGGAGGCAGGGGTTTCACCCTCAGCACCAAAAGAGAAGAGAAGAGAAGAGAGGGGAGGGGAGGGGAGGGGAGGGGAGGGGAGGAGGGAGGGAGGGAGGGAAGGAAGGAAGGAAGGAAGGAAGGAAGGAAGGAAAGAAAGAAAGAAAGAAAGGTATTGTATCAATGTATAGCTAAAATAATAATAATATTTTTTAAAAAAAAAAAAAAGGAATACCAGCTGTATGCAGTGACGCACGCCTATAATCCCATCGACTTGGGAGGCTGAGGCAGGAGGATCACAAGTTCAAAGCCAGCCTCAGCAAAAATGAGGCGCTAAGCAACTCAGGGAGACCCCGTATCTAAAAGGGCTGGGGATGTGGCTCAGTGGTTAAGTGTCCCTGGGTTCAATCCCTGGTACCAAAAAGAAAAAAAAGTCATACCAGTGGGAGCGGAGGTTGCCTGGCCCTGCAGTTAGTTCATCATGTGCGCATGTGCGTGTTGGAATGTGGACTATTCTAGCATATGTGTTTTCATTCATCATCCTCAAGGCGCGAGATGGAGTTTAAAAATCCCCCCATCCAAGTAGGTTCTATCATCAGAAGGGAGGCTTTAGAACCAGGGTGGTTATTGTTTAAAAGGGGACGTGGAGTTCACAGGGCCCAGAACCATTGGTCTCAAGGGTTCTCAAGACCCTTTGGTTCCTCGAGGCCCCGGGAATTTGGACCTGGCGGGTGGGGGAGGGTACCTGGCAAAGCAGGTGCAGGACCTGAGGGGAGGTGGGCGGGACCACGGGGGTGTCACATGGCTGTGGGCGTGGCCACATGGTAGGTAGGGCTTGGGGACCTCACCTCTCCCGGATGAAGTCAGCCAGCTCCTTGGTGGAGACGGGCCCCTGCTTCACGCTGTGGTACAGGACCTCAAAGCCATGATTTTTCTCACCCTGAGGGGATGAAGGTGAAGATTAAGAAAGTTGGTGGGAGATGAGGCTATCAATGTTGCCTAGCAACGGGGGCAGGGCCAAGGAGCAGGAGTCCATCCCGGGCTTGAGCCATCGGTCTGTTGCACTTCCCCTTGGCCCCAGTTCCTGGACTTTAAATTGGACCAATCAGAAAAAAGCCTGGGGTTTGGAGCCTGTAGTTGAGAGAACGAGAATCTCAATTGTTCTTTGTGTCTCTTTTATCTTTGGTCCTGGTCTTTCTGCTTCTGTTTGCCTCGGTCTCAGTAAAAAAACTCAGAAAAACTCAGTAAGTTTTTCCCCCTCTGATTTTTCTCTCTCTCTCCATCAATGAGGAGTAGTGGTGACAAAAGATATTAGAAGCCAAGAGAAAACCATGAGCCTTAGAAAGATGCTGAACCAGAAGGAATCGAATAACATGTGAGTTTAGTCAAGTTGCTGGATGGAACCAAACCTGAAAGCCACATTGCCACACAGCTGTCCACTTTTATAAGCCAATGAATACAACCCCTGTTGTTTAAGTCACTGTAGTTGTGTTTTCTATTCTTTTCAACATGGAAACTCCCTCTCTGAGGCTCAGGTCAGGGCCTGGATCTGAGTTCTTTCTCAGGACCCAGAAAAGCCCAGCACAGGGTGAGGCCCAGAAAACACAAGTTTTTGAGAATTTTGAATAAGTGAACAAATGTTATTTTGCTGTAAACAGTGCTGGTAGGAGCTGAGCCTCTACCCTGCGCCTACTTATGCCTCACATGAAACCTCTTTCCTCCGAGTTCTGGGCTGTCACTGTCCCTCGTCCACCTCTTACATGGGAATGCAGATTGATATTCGTCAGGGTCCCCAAAGCCCCAAAGCAATTCTAGTTTTTGCTAATTCTCTGTTACTTAACATTTTAAATCTGTTTCTTCTCCAAATGCATTTATGTAAGGGCAACTTTTACTGCTATTCAAAATAGGACACTGGGACCCCTTTCCATATGAAAGTGTAGGAAAAATGACTTGACTTTTTTTGGGGTGGGGGGATTCCGGGGGTTGAACTAAGTGCACTCGATCCCTGAGCCACATCTTCAGCCCTATTTTGCATTTTATTTAGAGACAGAGTCTCACTGAATTGCTTAGTGCCTCGCCATTGCTGAGGCTGGCTTTGAACTCAGGATTCTCCTGCCTCAGCCTCTCTAGCCACTGGGATTACAGGCATGCGCCACTGTGCCCAGCAGGTGACATTTTAATGCCAGCCAGATCCTGTCACCTGTGAAGGGTGCCATGTCTGAACACTGAACTGTCCATTCAGAAGGGTGTTACGCTGGGGTCTGAGGGAACTTGGAAAATGTTAGCACCGATGATGCTTTGTAATCAGGACGGAAAGATGAGGTGGAGAGATCCAAGCCTTCTTTCTGCCTGTCTCTGTCTCTCTCTCTGCAGTGTTGGGGAGGGAACCCCGGGCCTTGCACAGCTAGACGGGGCTCCTCCGCCCAGCCCGGCCCCCGCCCCACGCCACTTAATTCCCAGTAGAAGTCCCTGGACCCTCCCTCTGGCCACACTGGGCAGTGTCTTCCGTTCACCGGCCCAGTCACCTGGAAGCTGGAAGGCTGGTCAGAAGTCCTCCCAGATGACCCTCTTGCTGCACACACGGGAGACTGAACCAGATTTAGCGAATGAGCAAAAGCGAGAATTGCCTTTGGGGCTTTGGGGACCCTGACGGAGATCCATCTGGTTCATCCCCCTGAGAGGTAGCTGGCTCCCGGCCCCAGCTAACTCGGAGCTAGCTACCCAAGGCTCGGAGAGGGTCGAGGCAGCCTCAAGCCCAAGGCTCCCGACAGCCACCCCTCACTCTAGAATCACTGATGGCGCTGGTCAGTGGTCCATCAGCTGCGCAAGTTCAAGTTCCCTTGGTTTGGAATTGCTTTTCCAGCCTCGGCTCCTGGTTTCTTCCCGCCTCGCCAGGAAGGCAGTAACCCATGCAGGGACACGTGGTCCCTTCGCACTACACCTTTGCCCAGGGGTTCCCGCCACCAGCCCTCCACCCGGCCAGCCCCACCCACCTCAGCCCCTCCCACCTCAGCCCCTCCCACCTGCCAGTCCCTCCCAGTCTCCAGATCCTCCCGCCAGCCCCGCCCACGCCGCCAGCCCCGCCCACTTCACTAGGGCCCTTCCAGACCAGCCTCCTCCCAAGCTGCTCAGAACCCCACTTCCCTGGGCGCTCTGGTTGTCCCTCCAGCTTCCTGTCTAGACCTGTATTTTCAGGCTCCAGTGCTAAACCCCCCTTACATGCACTGAGTGTCTTAGAGTTGGTGACTTCGCCTCTCTGGGTCTCAGTTCCTCCTCCGACAGTGACAGCACCCAGCTCACCAGGGTCTTGGTGAGGGGGGCTGGCACAGCGCTGGGCAAGGGGCCTCCTGGGTCAGTGTGAGGGCCTGGCAAACAGCCGCGGCAGCTCACTGCCCCCCGGGGATCCTCGGGTGAGGCAGCTCCAGGCACTGTCACCCAGGCCAGCATCTGGGCCTGACTCTGAGCCAACCACTGGCCTGGTTCCCAGGGCTGGCAAACCCCCAGCAGTGTCTGCCTTCCTCAGAGTGGGTTGGCAGCCGAGGGTCCTAGGGGTCTGTCTTGGGTGTGTGTCTCCTTCAAGAACCTCTGGATCCCAGTATTGCCCCAGTGCCTACTGGGGCAGGACCTTCCAATCACAGCTTGATCATGGCCCTCTCCTGCTCACACTTCCCCCATAGCTCCCTAGTGCCCTTCATGCCTCTTGCCTTGCCCGGCTCAAGGAGACTGATGCATCCTTGTCTGTCTTGATCACCCCTGATGAGAGAGTCTCCTTTGGACCACCCAGAGCCTCAGCCCTGCCCAGCCTGTGTGGGGCTCTAATGCAAGCCACCGATTGAAAGAAGCATTACTAAGGGCTGGGGTGTGGGTCAGTGGTAGAGCATTTGCCCAGCAGGCCCCCGGCCCTGGCTTCAATTCCAGTACTAAAAAAAAAGACCTCGCTGGAGTCTGGAGATTTCTGTCATGGACAGGGTCCCCGAGGCACTCCCATGTCCCAGGAAGATGGAATTTCAATGCCCTTTCCCACACGGCGTAACTGGGCTGGAGGAGGCAGAGTCGCCTGGCCAAGGGCTCCCGCAGAACCACATTCCAATCCGGAGCTCAGAGCTCTGGCGCGGGAGCTGGGGTGTCTTTAGGTGGGGGTGGTTTCTATTTTTTTTTTCTTTGCTGCTCATCTGATTTTCTATGGAGAGTCTGCGCACTTTGTACAATTAAAAAGGACTTAAAATAAATGTAGGTGCCTCGTACCTTAAAAGACATCTTAAATAGATGTAGGTACTGCTGTCAGGGCTCCAACTTCTGATGCTCTAACCATCAGCCCCCCCCCCCCCACAGAGGTCCTCATGGGGGCTCAGAGACACAGAGTCCCCCGGGGTCACACAGCCATTCAAAGGCAGAGCTGGAGAGTCAGACCCCTGGGGAGAGGGTGCAGGTCAGACACCGCCCCCCAGGTGGCAAGGGGGTATGGTCCCTTTAAGAAAGTGAAGGCGGGTAAGAGGAGCCCCAGCTGGGAGGGGAGAAAGGAGGGAGCCTGCTTGTTGCCAGGGGCAACTGGTTGCCTAACAACAGGCTTCCTCTGGCGAGCCCAGGGCCTGCAGTTGGGGAAGGGGCTTTCTGCAGGCCCCTCCGGGCCTCTCCTGAGGCTCACCCTCCTTAGCCACCTCTGCAGGGGGCGTCCTGTTCTCTGAGCTGGCCACCAATGTCACACTCTGGGCTTCTACCCAGCCTGCCCCTTGGCCTGCAGGACACAGCCGCATGCTGCTCAGGGCTCCCCGGGTGCCCCTGAGCCGGGCTTGCCCTGGCCCTGCAGGGGGGGTGTCCGGCTGACTCGGTGTCCCCTAGACTCGAGCTCTTCTCTGGGAGCTGGACAAAAGCTCTTGGGGGCCCCAGCGCCTTCCAGAGCAGGGGGTCATGGGGCCAGAGGGAGGGAGTCAGAGAGGGAGTCCTCTCTGTCCCCAGTCCCGTTCCCATCCTGGGTGGGGAAGGAGCGCAGGGGACACAGGGGTCAAGCCAAGAAAACTCCCCAACTCTCCGGGATGGGAAGGGCACGGGAACCCCCGGCTGGAGTGACCCCGCGTCCGGTGGCGCTCGCTCTGGCCCAGGTTGGTGTCCTGAGCCTGCACTTTTTTGCTGGGCAATTTCAGCTACCAGATTCCTCCTCTGGGCTGTGGCTTCCTGACTTGCCCAAGGTCACAAGGTCTGTGAGGTCTGAGGATGTGGATTCTAACCCAGCCTGACTCTTCCTGCTTTGACTTCTACCTGCAGCAGACCCTCTCCCTGCCCACAAGACACTCAGTCTCCCCATCTCCATAAAAGTCCATATGACCCTGCCCGGAGCCCCCACCAAAATAAGAGTAGGTCTTACCCAAAAATGTTCCCCAAAGTACGACATCCTGATGGCCTCTGTGGAGACCCCTGCAGGCCCCCTCCGATATCTGTCTGAAGAAAAAGGCAAGTGTGAGCCACACAGTCCTGACAAGTGCAAGCCCCAGCCCGAGTAGGGGAAAGTGGGAGGAGGGAGAGGCGGATGCCCTGAGGCTGGGCTGGGGTGGGGACCAGGAGTGGGGGACGGTGGTGGTGTCTGAGATGACTGGGCTCTGCTCCTGCAGCTCCTGGTCTACGGGAGCAGAACTGGACACAGATGCCCCAGTCTCATGGGGTCGGTCGGGTCTGCACTAGATGGAGGGACAGGTGGGGAGCTCAGGTGGGGAAGGAAGGGCACGGGGCTCGGGGTCTGAGCAGGTGTAGGAGTTCGTGGGCAAAGGTGGGAGTGGGAGTGGGTGAGCTCGGCCCAGGCGAGACGCTCAGGCCCAGGTCAGGGACGGGAGAATCCAGTCCCCTCTGAAGAGGGAAAGCCACTTGCCAAGGTCCCGCAGCAGGAAATGACAGCAGGCTTGACCCTGCCACGGCGGAACCCAGACCTGCCCTCAGATGCTCACGGCTCCTGTGGGAAGAGAGTCTGGTGGGGAGGGTGCTGGGGTCCCTGGAGTGTCCCTGAAGGTCCCCCTGAGGTCTCTTGAGTCCCTCTTCACAGTCCCGGCCGCAGCTCATTCAGCAGGGAGAGCTTGCCCCTGCCCTGGTGACCCTGCCAGCAGCCCCTGGAGGCCAGTGCGCACTGTCCTCTGAGCCACTGTCCAGCCCCAGGCCTCAGTTCCCCTCTGCAGCCCACGATGGGCGCCCGGGAGGGTCTGGCTGGGGAACCCCGGCTCTGCACGGGGCTGGGCCCGGCCGCCCAGTGGGGGAGGGCCGCAGGGTGTCCTTGGCATGTTCCGAGACCAGGCTGGTCACTGGAGCCTGCAGGCCTCATCCATAATTCATGACCCCATGGGCAGCTCGGCAGCAGCTGGGAGCCTGGGAGGCACGGTGGCAGCGGGGACAGGGCCGGGTCACTGCAGGCTGGGGAGGCGCCCTGGGTCCCACCAGGAAAGGACTGAGCAGGACGCTGGGCATGGCCGCCCCTCTCTGAGCCTCAGGTGACCCATGCAGCCCCAGCCCCTGGTCCTCGCATGTCTCTCAGCACCCACCGAGTGCCCGCTCCGACCAGGGCAACGCCAGGACCTCTGAGATGACAGCCCTGAGCCTGGCCCCCCAAAGGCCCCCAGTCGAGGAGGGCAGAGCCGGACACAGGCGTCCCTAATCTGCTGTGGTCAGGGAGGGGCCGACCTAAGGACAAAGGCTGGACTTCAGCAGGGGCCATGGGGGCTGAGCCTGCGGGGTACACCTGCACCTGTCATGCCAGCCACCAGGAAAGAGGGGGCAGGGGAAATTGCAAGTTCGAAGCCAGCCTTGGCAACTGAGGGAGACCCTGACTCAAAAATAAAATAAAAACACAGTAAGCACCAGGGAGAGTGCCCCGGGTTCAATCCCCAGCACTGCAAAAAAAAAAAAAAAAAGAGAGAGAGAGAGAGAGAGGGGGGCATGATAGTTGGGGTTTTAAAGCATCCACAGGAGTTCACCAGGCGAATCATTTGTTTCAGCAAATTTACCCCACACCATCCTGTTCCGGGCAATGCTGCCGCCCCTGAGGAACTTCTGCTCCCAGGGGAGTCCCTAGCCAACCTAATTTGGCGAGATGAGGCACTGCAGGCTGATGTCCCAAGGGAGGAAAGTCCCAAATGCTCAGATCATCTCTGGCCATGAGCGGGACCGCGAGCCGTGCTGAAGGAGACGGGGCCCTGTAGCACCAGGCGGCGACTTAGTGTAAAACTGAACCCAGTTCCCGCCCGGCCTGGCGTGTGCCAGCCTCTTCCCGGGGCCCAGCGCCAGGCAGAGCAGACTCAGTTCTGCTAGACACACGCTCAGGGATCCCAAGTTCCCCAGAAACCAACCGTCTCACTCCCACCAGGCACCTGCCCCTCTCTGTCCTCTGACACCCGTATGTGCCCTGCTGTGCCCAAACCCTCACACCTGGCCATCACCCCGCCTTCAGCCCCCAGCGGCCCCCACTTCACGGACGAGGAGATAGGCACAGAGGGAGGTGGCCGTCTCTGGGGACAGGGTTGTGCTCCTCTAACCCCCGCCTGGCTGCGGGCAGTCTCCCACTCACAACCTCCTCTGTGGCTCCGGCTCCTTGTCCCCAGCCCCCACCACCACTCAGAGCTTTGGGGGCAGGAGCCAAAGTGAAGGATGGCTCACCCTGAGGTGGCCCGGCCCAGGAAATGACACCACTCCCAGCCCAGGCAGAGGGCTCCCTTCTGCTCCTGATGGGGCCCAGGAGGGCCGGAGAGCCCCAGGCCGGGACTCAACTCACCCAACAGGGCGTCCCTCAGGGCAGGCACTAGGCGATGGCCACAGGCCCCTGTCACTTCCGTCGCCGTGTGGTGTGTGTGGGGGAGACAGGAAGCTCACCCTGCCCCGCCTACCACCCAACTGCCACCTCACCTCCCCGCCCTGATGGGTCCCCAGGGACCTCTCTGAAACCACAGGGAGGCCGTGTGGGTGGGTAAACTGAGGCTTATGCACCGGGGCCCAGCCTGGGGCTCTCATCACTGAACAAATCATAACCACGACAAGGACCATGAAAGAGCAGCACCCACAGCCGAGCACCAGCCCTGGCCCCGCGGCCCTGAACCCGCCAGCCCAAGGTGGCTCCCTCCCTCCACGCAAAGAAATTTAAAATGACATTTTTCAGCAGCGTTGACACAAAGACGAGGATATTAATCTTATATACGAAAAGGCTTCCCTGGACCCCAAAAGTTCTCCTTCCTTTTTCTTCTGATTTGGAAAGAAGTTAAATGGCCCCTAAAAATGCCAGGAGTCTGAGATACTCTGCTGACCGCATCCCATCGGCTGCCCGGCCTCTGCAGTGCCCTGGCCGAGCCCAGAGATGGATAGACACTTGCCCAAGGTTACACAGCCGTTTGCCAGCTGACCCCAGATGCCCCCGACCTGCTTTCCCAGCACCAATTCCCGAAACCTGGGACTCAGATGTGTGAGCCACCCAGAAGCAGATGACATGGGACAGGAACCAAGTCAGCAAAGAAGGCATGGCCCAAGCTCCCAGCCTGGGGACCGGGTCGGGGCTGGTTGGGGGTCAAGGCCCCTGACCTTTTGCTGGATGACCTGGGCTGTCCCTGCCTTCTCCGGCTTCCAGGATCCTATAAACAGAACCAGACGCGTCCTGCTGGGCTGAGCGGGCACACGTTAGAATGAGAGTTTCTCTTCCTCCCCACTGATGGGTCCTCATGGATGCCACGCCATTTCCAAGATCAGCTCTGTCACCAGGACTGTGACCAGTTACACAGATCGGCTGGCTTCTCACCACGGTATGCCCAGGCAGTGTCTCATCTGGTGGGGAAACTGAGGCACGGGCCCAGGTCCTGCCATGGCTCAGCCGAGGGAGGGCTGGCCTCTGAGCTGGCGCTCGGGAAAGTATTCAGCTTTCCCTACTGGTCCCCTCCCTCTCCATCGTGTCCTGTGGCACACACATTTATTGAGTGCCTACTGAGTACCTGACTTTACAGACAACACCCCTTGAAGACGCCCCTCCCTCTGTCCCCTTTCTGGTCAGCTGTGACACCATTTAGTGAGCAGCAATATTATAATTAATACGATAATGATCACATCTGCATTACAGCGCCCCCTCCTCCCACGGTCTCCTCTGGTCTTCCCAGAGGGGTCAGCCCATTTCACAGAGGAGCAAAGCAAGGCAAAGCCACAGGCAGGCAGAGGCAGGGGTCTCAGGTCTCATCCTGGAACTCACCCCTCTGCCCACTGATGGGACAAAGCTGCAAAGGACAGAGAGAGGCTGGCCTGTCACCTCCCACCTCTTCCTCCTGCCCAGGACCCAGCCCAGGAACTGGCTCGCCCCTGGCGTGGGTGAAGGTATGTGGGTCAGGGTGTGCCCCAGGCAGCTCCACTGGTGAGACCAGGGTCGGGTCCCTGTTCTGACAATTGCAGCTTGGTCATGTTTTACTAGTGGACAGGACTGTCCCCTTCTTATCCTCAGCCCTCTGGCAATGCCAGAGTGTCACCATCAACCCATTTTGCAGTGCAGTAAACTGAGGCACAGAGGCCAGTAAGGCTCATTGAGGGGTCTTCAAACCCCACCATTCTCTTGACCCCATCTTAAGCAAGAGGAAAATCACAGTCCACCCAAAAGAGGGGCAGGTGGGTTCAGAAGCGGGAGGGCGCAGGGTCGAAGCCCCCAATCTCAACTTTCAAAAGAGAGGAAACAAAGGCTCAGGGAGGTGCTGTCACCTGCCCAAGGTCACCAGTGAGGCAGGTCCATTGTGCTGCCTCCTGGTCCCCAATGCGGCTGGGGCAGGTGATCAGGGGATGGAGGCAGATGGAGGGGCTGCCCACCACCCAGCACTCCCCCGCACCCCACTCCCAGCCAGCCTCAGGCAAGATCTTAATTTACCTCCATTTATTTTCATCCCTAGGAACAGATGCTGCTGCTCCCCCTCACACACTCACACACGGGGAGGGACCCCTCCAATCCAGGCTCCAGGCCTTTCTAGGCCAGGCCTGGCCTGGCCAGTCCCTGCCAGGAGGGGACCCCACACTATCTCCTCCCCAGAATTCCAACCTCGGGGTCCCATAGAGGATGCCAGGGGAAAGACCTCCGTCCCAGCTTTAAGGTGGATGCCGGGTCGGGACATTTAGATGTGGGGAGAGGAGACCCCGGGTTCCTCCAGCTGCCAGGCCTGAATAGGGGTTCACAGTGGAGAAAAGGGGAAGCAGGTCCTTCATCTCAATCCCTAGGGGTCTGCAGGCCAAAGTTGGAAAGAAAAAAATTGGGAGTGGTTCCCACCTCGTCTGCCCAGGTTTGCAGGCTGGAAGGAGAGTGGCGCCCCCATCTTTGAAGCCCCAGAACCTAGGCAAGATCCAGGCTTAGAATAAAGGGATTTGGGGAGGGGTCTTGCTGTACAGCCACCCCGCTGCACGCTCTAATTCTAGGCCAGGAGATGGAGTGCTGGGGAGGGGGTCCCCATCTTTGCCTCTGAACCCCCGACTGCCACCGCGGGGGGGGCCGGGGCGCCCACCGCGCAGCCCCCTACCCGGCCGCCAGCCCTCGCGCGCCGCCGCGCCTTCGCCCGCCGCAGCCTCCAGTGCCGCTGGGCACAGCGCGCATGGGGGAACTGCGATGCCCGGGGACGCCGAGGGGTCCCGGGGACAGCACTCACCTCTCGAGCTCGGGCAGACCCCGCGCCCGCCGCCACCTGCGGCTCGGTTGCTGACACCCGAGCCCGCCCCGCCCCTCCCTCCGCGGCTGCGGCGCGGCTGCCTGGTGGCTCCGCCCCTGGGGCGTGGTCGAGAAAGTCTCCACCCCCGTGGCGGCGCCGGGAGGCAGGGGCGGGCTCAGGATCCGCGCGGCCCAGCATTGGGCCATTTAGGCTGCTGGCTCCTTCAGTCCAGGGCGCTGATTGGCTAAGAAGAAGAGGCTCCTTTTTATCTATCCCTCTATGCGCGCGCGCACACAAATACACGCGCGCACACACACACACACACACACACACTCGCGCACACTTACGCCACCACCCGCAATTCATTTGCATAATTTAAAGAGACAGGCGTCGCGCCGTCCGTCTGAGTTGGGAAGAAGGAAAGTTACCCCAGCATTTATTGAGCGCCACTGAATGCCAGGCATTGAACAGAGCTCATTTGCTTCCCCTTACAAGGATGTCAGTGATACAATACTGATCCTCATTTACATTTGCTCCAAGAGGGCAAAGACAGGGATGGAGGTCACCCAGCAAGTCGGCAGCCTCCAGCCCCTCCCAAAAATGCCGTCATGCCATATAGCAGTTCTGACAGACTCCCATCTAGCTCATCTGAGTTTTCATAAAATGAGACTTATATAAGGCCTACCAACCCAGAATAGGACCTTCTACTCAGGGACAGACACCTGGCTGGTTTCTGGAGCCCCGGGCTTGCTTACCCACCAACTTCCTCAGCTCAGCGAGGGCAGCCCAGGAGCATGGACCAGAGGATCCAGACACCCTGAAAGCCACCTTTCCCCTCACTGTTATCCGTCAGTCATGCACACTCTGTGTCTTTGAAACACCCCCAGTTTTCCCATTTTCCTGCTCCCTGCAGTGGCCCAGGTCAAGGCCAGCTCACTTGCAGCCTGGATGCTGCCTTAGGTTCCTCAAGGGGCCTCTGTTTCCTCCATCTCTGTCCCAGACAATCCCTGTTCCCATGGCAACCACACCCATCTATCCATCCATCCACCTATCTGTAGCTCTGTGTATATTTAAACATTTTATCTTAGAGCAGTTATTTACAGAATAATCATGAAGAAGGGCAGAGCCCCGGGCCCCATGCTTAGCTTCCCCATCATCACATCTCACCCGCACGGCTCGCTGGGCACCGTCAGCAAGTCAGTGTCAAGCACAGTTATTGGGGCTGGGGCTGGGGCT